GGAGGGAGGAAGGGAGGAAGGGAGGAAGGGAGGAAGGAAGGAAGGAAGGAAGGAAGGAAGGAAGGAAGGAAGGAAGGAAGGAAGGAAGAAAGAAAGAAAGAAAGATGCTTGCAAGGTTCTTGTATTTACATGGAAATGTACAAATTTTAAAAAGTAAGATTCAAAGTTGAATACACAGAAAAATTGTATTGTGATAAAAGAAACAAACAAAAAACATGCATTTAAAATCCTAGAAGGAAATATGAGCACTAAATGTAAAGTAGTGTAATACAACAGATATGAGCAAGAACTTTGGAGTCAGATAGTCCTGAGTTTGGATTCTGGCTATATTATTCACGAGTTGAGTGTCCTTGAGAAACATAACAATCCCTTCATATCTTCATGTCCCTATCTGTAATATGGGAAATAATAATAGTACCTGCCTCAAAGATTTACTATAGTTTTAAATGAGATAATGTCAGGGTACTTAATAAGGGCTTCATAAATGTGAGCTTATGAATATTATTATTTTCCCCTTCTTATTTTTTTTCTAGTGCATTGGCCCCAGGCATCTGTACCAGTGCTCTGCCTCTCCTGTCAGCCGCCTTCTAAACAAGTATTAATTTCATAATGAAAAACAACTGCTATTACAGGAAAAGGAAGGAATGAACAAAGGGAAAGAAAATGTATAGGTACTTAGTAAAAACATGTCATGGCAAGAAGATCAGAGTGGCATGAGGTAGGGTAGGATCAGGGAACAGTAGGTAGTCATAGTGTTACACAGGTTCTCAAAACCTTCATCAGTCATTGATGAAATCACTCAGCTTGAGAAATCTGGTAGGCCTGGTAAGAGTAAGCCTGGATCAGGATAAAATAACAATACCATGTCCACAGGTTCTAAATCCAAGGATTCAACCAACTGCAGATAAAAAATATTCAAGAAGAAATTGCATTTATGCCAAACATGTACAGACTTATTTACTTTTAATATTTTTTTAGTTGTAGATGGACATAATACCTTTATTTTATTTATTTATTATTTTATGTGGTGCTGAGGATTGAACCCATTGCCTCACATGTGCTAGGCAAGCACTCTACCACTAAGCTACAACCCCAGCCCTAGACTTATTTTCTTTGTCATTATTCTCTAAGTAATACAGTGCAACAACTATTTACATATTGCTTATACTGTGTTAGGTATTATAAGTAACCTAGAGTTTATTTAAGGTATATAGGGGGATGTACACAGGTTACACACAAATCCTGTGACATTTTATATAAGGGACTTGAGCATCCACAGATTTGAGTTTTTGCAGAGGGGTCTTGGAACAAATCCCCCATGGAAATCAAAAGATGACTGCATATATATCCTCTCATTTTTGTTTGGGTTGTCTTAGGCTTCTTCTTCTGGAGAATCTATAAGCAACTGTTTTCTTAGCTTCAGGGTCATGGGAAGCAGGGTAAAGTGAAGATGGCTGAGCACTGGTACATGTACCTAGGGCTAATGTACCTTTTGTTGTTAGAATATAATGCTGCTGCCTAACGCTCTACGGGAAACTACTGCCCACTGTCCAGAGCCAGTCTCTGATGGGCATTGTTTATAGATGTTTGTTAAATGGCTTTTCTCACTTGCTTAAGACACAGGCAGTCTTTATCCCAGTACTGTTGCTAGACAGCTTCTGGGATACTAGCAGTTGCAAGCAAGGCTGCTTATATCTGAGTAGAGTCTGAACTAATTGTCTTGTTAATAATCATACAGCAAAAGTAATAGCTACTTATGAATTGAACACCTCAAATACATCATTTTATTCAATTTTTCCAACAGCCCAGTGATGGCACTGATATTGCGACTACTCTGTTTTATAGGCAAAGAGTCTGAAGTTCAAAAAGCTTGGGTGTTTTGCTCAGGGTCACACAACTAGTAAGTGAAAGGTTCAGGATTCAAACCCAGTCAGTCTGACTCTGGAGCCTTCTTGCTTTTATCCTCTTGCTGTGCTGTCACTCAAAAGACCTCCTGCTGGAAGCCAAATTGCTAGGAGCAAGAGGGCATGTCCTTTATGGCTGCTCTGGGAACTTTCTTAGTAGATGTCAGGCACTAACTGTGGCCATTTTCAAAGGCTCATTTATTGGCCCAGCTGAGGTGCCTCAAATTGTTCAACAGAGACAGGGATATCCTAGTTCTGCCACTTAGGATCAGCAGAAGGCTGAGGACCCAGGGCCTGATACTTCACCTCTTTCCTTGCAGGGAAATTCACCTGCATCGAGGTAAAGTTTCACCTGGAACGGCAAATGGGATATTATCTGATTCAGATGTATATCCCCAGTCTACTCATCGTCATCCTGTCCTGGGTCTCCTTCTGGATCAACATGGATGCTGCCCCTGCCCGTGTAGGCCTCGGTATCACTACTGTGCTCACCATGACAACCCAGAGCTCTGGTTCCCGGGCCTCTTTGCCTAAGGTGAAGAGACATGCAAGGGAACCTGCTTGTCATCAAGTTTCCCATTTCTCATTCATCACATGCTCCCTCCTGATCACTACTGACCTTGGATTTAAGGTTGAGAGGAGCAACTGAGTGGGAACAAGCATCCAACATACTGTCTTCCCCCACAACATATACCAATAATATAGATAACACTGTGGAGGCTGAGGTTAGGGATTCTGTCTGGTTAGGGAGTGAGTACTTTCTTCAGGACATACTAGCATGTCCAAGATCAAAAGACCCTCATCAAGTAAAAAGTCATACTCCCTCATGGTACAGATGAGGAAACACCTCAGATGGGTAAAATGACCTTCTCAAGGTCATGTCCCACCAGAAACAACCAAAGCAGTATCAGGATTCTGAACCAACTTCTGTCTTCTTACTATGGGAGAACCAAGATACTATTACAAAGAGATCTAGATATAGTGTCTATTTTTTGAAGATGAAAAAAAATTTGAGGTAGCAAATTGAAATTAAAGGCAGTAGACTCTGATCATCTGGGGCCTAGTTATGTTTTGATTACACAGAAAGATTTGTGCTGATGGGACTAGGAACAGCTCTCCCTGTCTCATGTCTTCCTGTAGGCAATTTAGAGGTCACCTCAAAGTCCTTACAGTCAGCAAGGCTCTGAGCACATCGGGGAGTTAGAACACTCATTTATTCAATAAGTATCTATTGAGCATTTACTATATACCAGACACTGTACTTGATCATGGAAAAACAATGGAAAGGAAAAACAACACAGTTTCTCCTAGATCTTTCAGTGAACATATTCCTTCTTGCTCTGATTCATTAGGAACCAGAACCTTTGATCTCCCTTCTCTCAGTTTTTGTTCATAATAAGACTTTTTACTTAGGGCAGGGGGTAATCTGGGACATTCATGGCAAATTTATGAATTTGCTATATGGGGGAATAGTGGTTAAGTGTATGAAATTAGAGTCAAGCAAATTTGGGTTTAAATCCCAGATTCATCATTTACTAATAGTGTGACCTTAGGTAAATTCCTTAACCTCTCTGTCTTACTCGAAACATGGGAATAAGAATGCTATTGCAGCTGGATATGGTGGCTCACACCTGTAATTCCAGCAGCTTGGGAGGTTGAGGCTAGTGGACTGTGAGTTCAAAGCCAGCCACAGCACTTTAGCAAGGCTCTAAGCAACTTACCAAGAACCTGTCTCTAAATAAAATATAAAACAGGCTAGGAATGTGGCTCAGTGGTTAAGCACCCTTGGGTTCAATCCCTAATACTAAAAAATAAAAAAGAATGCAAATATATATATCAATATACAAGGCAGTGTTTGACAATAATAACTACTCAATAAATGTTAATTATTATTATATTTACCATGTGTCAGATTTGAAAAGAAACGTGATGGATATGAGAAAGCAGCAGCTAATATTGACCCCAATTATTTTTGATCTGCTGAGAAACCATTGAGGTAGTCCAAAGTTCTAGAGAGAGAAATAATTAAGATCAGGATCAAGTATCCAAGGAAAAGTTATTGGGGTCACTTCCTGCAAATATGTTTCCTACATGGACAAGGATATTTATAAGGCTCTGAGAGGCAGGATGGATTTAGACAAGGACCACAGGGCCCAGGCTGGGCTGTGGTAGCTATGTTTTGATAGTGGCCTATATGGAAACCAGAGACAGTAAAGTAATTCAGCCCTAAGAACTCTGCCCTAGTTTATTGCTTCTGCCATATCAAGGAGATTCTTCTCTAACTCTGGGAGCTATTGTAATTTATGCCTTCCTTTTGCCAAGAGAACTTCCTTTTCTGGTCCCCTCCTGTGAGTGAGCACAATCCATCTGCTCCCAGGAATCACTTAGTTTCCTCATTTGGAAAAAGTAGACTTTATTGGGAGGTTGTTTGTTTACAACATTTTGTGCCTTCTTTTACCTCACTGGCCAATAAGCAAAATACCCAGGCATGCACCCCAAATGAAACAGCCTCATTAGTCAGCCCCACAGAGCAAGAAACTCAGTAACCTAGAAAGTATCTGCTCACTCTTGAGTTCGTGTAGCATTAAGTTCAGTGGAAGCCTTGAGAAAAGGGATGGAGCCAAGCCAGGGGACTCTTAATTCTACTCTACAACACAACTTAAGTGTCTAGGATGAAATTCTCAGAGACTTGCTTTGTAGGAGAACTCAGCTGGGGTGTCCATTCTCCATGATCCCATGAAACCACTCCTTTGCTCTTATGGGGGACCTCCAAAGACACTCACCACTATCTCTTTCCAAGGCCCTTGAATTCCACAAATGCAGATGCCTCAGAAAAGAGTAGAAGGGCTAAATGAAAGATTTTTCCAGGTTAGACCTAAAGTTGTAGAATAAAGGAAGGACCCAATTCTCTCTAGATCTTGTTATCTAAGTAGCCTTTAGCTCTCGGGGCAAGCAGTGGAAAGGAGAGCATAGAGAGCAAGTAGAAGCCAGTAGAGAAAAACTCATTACCAAACCATCTATCCATTCATTGATTTAAAAAAATTAACTATGTGCTAAGAACTCGCCTGGGCACTGGGACTAGAACAGTGACGAGCATATAAATAATCCCTGTCATGGAAGAGCTCACAGTCTAGTGGAGGGAATAGTCAGGTATGTGATGGATGCTAAGAAGGTATAGGTAACCTGGGCACATATACCAGGACAACCAAAACAGACTAGAAAGATCAGGGAAGGCTTCCTAGAAGATGTATGTATCTAAAGTGGAAGCTGGAGGATATATAAAAGTTATCTAAGTAAAAGACAGAAAGAAAAGCAGAGATTTGCTTCTTAGAAAACTACTAAAATAGTTCACCAAAGTGGATCATAGATTGCAAGGGGCATGATGAGGCTGGAGAGGTAGGCAGAGGCTCCATGTCATGATTAAGTGGAGTGTGGACTGTAGCATAAGGGTAATAAAGAACCACAAAGGGGTATAAGGTAGGGGGTAATATGATCAGATTTACATTTCATAAACAAAACTCACTACCATTTCGAAAACATATTGGAGGTGGCAAATGTAGAAGCTGGGAGACCATTTAGAAACTGTTGTAGTCCTTCAGATGAGCTATAATAGTAGGGGATGGACTCCTGAGATTTAAAAAAATATATATTGATACATCATTCATCATTAACAAGACATTATTCCTGGTGCTTAATGTGTCCTTTCCTTTGATGGTTCAAAGCCCTTCATTATGCTCCTTTGTCACTGACTCATCATTGATCTTCACAACACACATTTGCTATCCCTGGGGGCACAGTGGGACTGGGAGATGGAGAATGAAATAAGTGGCAAAGTGGAGACACCAAGGGATGTCTAATCGTAGTTGCCTGCAACCCATTACCACCCTTTGTGGTATCACCCTAAAACAACTAGAATAGGATTTCTCAGCCTCATAGCATTACTGCCATTTGAGGGAGATTTTTTGGTGTGTGTGTGTGTGTGTGTGTGTGTGTGTGTGTGTGTGTGTGTACGTGTATACTGAGGGAAGGCTGTGCATTGTAGGATATTTACTGCCACCCTAAAATTTTACAACCAAAAATGTCACCAAACATTGCCAATTGATCCTCAGAAACTGAACAAAGTTTTTTTTTTTTCAGTTAAGAAATGCTAAGGTCAGGGGTTGGAGGTATAACTCAGTGGTAGAATGCTTGCCTAGCATGCCCTGGGTTTGATCCCCAGTACTAAAACAAAACAAAAACTAAGGTAAAGAATTATTCCATGAGACCTTCTCCTTACCTGGGATCCACAGCATCCTTGCTGCCCAACAAAACAGAAGCTGATGAAAGAAGTCATGTGTCCTGAATTCTACCCCTGTTGAGGAGCCTTATGCCATGAGCTCAAAACTAGGTAGAATTATATCTGGTTACGGAGGTGAAAGGATTTCAGAAATCTGAGCTCTACTCTCCTCCTGGTCCCACCCAGCTCTAGCCTTGTTCCAGGAGAGGTCCATGTTCAACCTCCACAAGGGTAGTAGGAGAGAAAAGTACTTAAAGACTGCCAAGGAAGGTAGTGAGAGGAGAGTACTAGAGTGAATAATTGCATGCCAACAGTGCATCCTCATGATACTGGCCTATTTTCCTCTCCAGGGTGAGCCCCATTCCTATTAGGCACTCTTAAAAAAGAGCAGGAAAAAACAGAACTCCCAATACACACCTTCACATTGGGTAATCTTTGCTAAACCCTTCTCTCTGAGCTTTAAGTGTCCTCATGTCTCTTACATGGGCATGGTGAACCCTGCCTAGTTACCATGAGGGTTGTAAGAACTTGAGGAGATAACACTGGCAAACAAATGCATTACTCGTGATTACTGTTGTTTATTGAAATAAAAGAATCAGAAGACGAATGAAAAGAATAATAAAAAGCAGAAGGAAGTCGGGCACGGTGGTGCATGCCTACAACCCCACTGGCTTGGGAGGCTGATGTAGGAGGATTGCGAGTTCAAAGCCAGCCTCAGCAAAAGCAAGGCACTAAGCAACTCAATGAGACCCTGTCTCTAAATAAAATACAAAACAGGGCTGGGGATGTGGCTCAGTAGTTGAGTACCCCTGAGTTCAATCCCTGGTATCAAAAAAAAAAAAAAGCAGAAGCAGAAGTAGAAATGCAAGAAGAATATAAAGGAAGAAAGGAAAATAAGTACAGGGAGGAAATGCAGATGGAAATAGAAGGCGGAGAGTGCAGAGAGGTGAAAGATGATAAGTAGGGGCTGGGTTGTGGCTCAGTGGCAAAGTGCTTGCCTAGCATATGTGAGGCACTGGGTTCGATTCTCAGCACCACATATAAATAAATGAATAAAATAAAGGTTCATCAACATCTGCTTTTTTATCTTTAAAAAAAGATGATAAGTAACCCAATCTCTTTGACATGAGCTTTCAGATAATGGGACATATCATGGAAAGCTTCTTTAAAAAACAAAAGAAATTCAGGATAAAACTAAAGAACATCAGGCAGTTGATACAGGCTAGAAATCCATTGGATAGACCATGGAAGGATATCAAGATGGCTGACTGCCCTATCGGTGGATGTTATAGGTATCCTACGTGAAGGCAATTGACATCTGGATGGCCGTGTGTCTGCTCTTTGTGTTTGCTGCCCTGCTGGAGTATGCTGCTGTCAATTTTGTCTCCCGTCAGCATAAGGAATTCATGCGACTTCGAAGAAGGCAGAGGCGCCAACGCATGGTGAGTACAACTAAGGAGGTGCCCACTTTCTTTTTCCTTTGGACTCCTTCTTCCCTACTACTACTCCCACAAACCAAGACCCAACTTAAGCTGCAAGAACTGAACAAGCAGTCAGGAACCCTGGATTTTAGTCCCAGGCTGAGCACAGTTAAGCTAAGTACAATATCCCTTTGGTTTTGTTTCCTATGTATTCAATGGGACATTAACCCCTATAAGGCAGTATAGTAGAATGATTTAAGACCATGGGCATAGTGCCTAGCATACACTATGCACTGAAAATGTGTCAGTTAGTATTAGAACCTTACCAACTTCGTTCATATGACATTGCTTTGAGAAATAACAATGGTTGCTCCTGGCTCTCTCTGCACCAAGAAGGACCCCAGGTTTTCCACACTAATCAGTAGTAAAGAACTCAAGAGTCAGACATTGGTGCCTTTCTAGGGAGCATTATAAGAGGGTTCTTATAATTAAGTTAGAATTGAAAGAACACTACTTGCCTCTTCTGATTGTTGGATTTCTTCTTGATCTTCACTGGACACATCAGAGTTGTTGGGCTTGGACTGTTGTTCTCCCTCACTCTTGTTTGTTAACCCCATTTCTTCTACAGTAGAATGATCACCTAGGGAAATATAAGAGGAAGCTTGTTGTCATGACAACACAGGCAGTTTACCCTCAGTTGCCCAGACAATAGGTGCTAAGTAAGTTGTCATGACAACAGAGATACCTGGGCTATCCTCACAGAAGCAAGCTTCCAATTATGAGCAAAGCTAACAGTCTTTGCTAAGCTACATGCTAGTTGCTTAATCTCCAGGGACACAGAGTTCTGGTCTGTCTTCAACTGTGACTCTATGTTTTCTGCCTAATTTCAATACTTTAAAACTAAAGGGGCAAGTGCAGAATGACCTCTAGGGGATAGGAAACAATTACAGTTGCCTAGGGTGTATTGCGCCCTGGATTCGATTCCCAGCATCACACATATGCATACAGAATCCTGACTCTAGCCAGTGTGAACCACAAAGTATCTATGGTTTCATGCCCCTTGCTAAGGTCCTTCTCTGTAGAGGGTGGGGTTCCTGGATCATATAGGGGTTTGTCCAAATTTATGTACTCTTGCCTCACTTCATCCCTTTAACTGGGTCCTGGGCAGCATGCCCTCTAGTGGATTGATCCATAACTGCATGTCCTTGGGTAGGACTTTTTTGAAGAAAGACTTTCCTGTCCCATACCGGGGGTTAGGGCAGAAATATAGACTTGACAGGGAAAAAAAAGAGGATTCTCTTTCTTCTAAGCTAACTGTCTCCACTCCTTCTTTTGTTGGTTCAAACCTACTTGCAGGTACCAAAATCTTATTCTTACAGAGGGTCTGACCTTGACAACTTCTGAATGTTTTCTTTGGAAAAGAAAAGTAGGTCACCAACCAGTCCAGAGTCCCTTTCCCAGTTACATTGCGTGTGTTTATGTCTCAGCACCAATATATTGCTAAAGTTACCATAGACCCATTCCATGTTGACACTAGTCCCACCTCTTTCCCTGCGTTCACCCAACCCCCAACTGGCCACAAGCTGTCCCCTCCTGCTCATATATAGGTTGACCCTGAGTTCATAATGGAGTCTGTCATAACCAGTGCTCAATTATTACAAAGTTATAACAGCATCTTGGGGCCTGCTTAGGACCCTGAAGCCTTCCTGGAAGTGGTCTGGGGTTTACTATTAAGGTGAATAAATCTATGCCACAAATCATGTTCCTTTTCAAGTCTCCTAAAGCTACTGTCATTCCAGTAGAACTGTAAAGGGAATACTGGAGGCAACAGGCAGGCTGAACAAGTTGATGGAGAGTTCACCCATTACTAGAACCTCTCTGGGTCCTACCATTTCAGCAGAAGGAAATCCTTAGCCCAAAAA